AATAAACACGGGTTTCCATTTATTTTGGCGTTTTCGTTCATTGTAATAATACTATCATAATCAAATGTCAAAGAATTTTTTATTGTTAATATTGCTTGGTTTGTCATACTCATAATTCCCCTTACAAAAATATTATTATGAACGTCGATAATAGAATTGTTTGTCATAACCAACGAAGTGTTATTATCATACAAAGTCAGATAAGAACAATTCATAATAGAACTACCACTTGTTGAAATACTGGACTTTGAATATATAATTAAATTGGCTGTATATAATCGAGAATTTGAAAACAATTTCAGTTGTACGTTTAAACTTAAAACAACCTTACCCATATGAACATACGAATTGTCTATTAGTGTTATGTTAATATTACCAGTAAAAGGGTTTGTAGATGTTGAAATAAATGATGAATTTCCTTCAAATGATAAAGATTGATTTCCCGTACATGATATGGTATAAACAATATTAAAGAACGAGTTGCCCTTCATTGTTAATTTTGAACTATCTTGAAGAATAAATTTATTCCATAAATCAATCTTAGAATTATCATCCATCAAAAGAGATGAAAAGTTTTTCATTTCAATTGAACCAAAATATGTAATAGAAGAATTATCTTTTAAAGAAAATGTTGCATTTTCTGATAAATATATATTCATTAATGAACTTGGACTATATGTTGTTATATTAGAACATCCATTGAGTGTTGTTAAACTATTCCCATATAAGTAAACGTGATTGTTTTCTTTTAAATAAATAGAACTATTTGTCATGTTTAATACACAATTTTCATACAATTTTAAATTGAATACATTTTTAAATAAGGAATCTGGTTTCATCAATATTTTTGAGTTACCATGTGCTATTATTTCATAAAAGCGAGTAATTGAATTTGGTTCTTCATTGCTACAATCAATACTGGAATTTTGACTCATTGTAAATGTTAAATTAGTTGTGTTGTTTTTTGGTGCAATCAACAAATCTTTGGTCAATCGACAAAATGAAGAGTGTGTATATGAAGTTGTAATTTGATCTTCTAAATCACATCTTTGTCCACAAACAAAAAGGAGAAGATATACAATAAGTATCATTAACATGATTTGGGATCGTTTTTTGAAGATTGTTAATATAATCATTATATTTATAACCAAAACCAAGTTTTTATTTTCTTTCTTCTTCCATATGTTCTGAATCGAACGAAACAAAAACATTTATACAATTTTAATTAATTTATAATCTGCATTTCTAACTTTGTGGTTTTCAGCTTATTTCCCGTTTATTTTGATTCTTTTTAATTGTTGTTTTAGTATATTTAGTTTGGTTGGATTTATTAATACTATGTTATATTAATATTATATTATAAATCAATAATAAAATGTTTTAGTAAAAATTAAAGTAAATTTTCAGTATCGTGTAAGCCCGACAAAATAGTTGGACTTAAGATAATTGAATTATAGGTGTTATTGAAAAATACATATAATTAAATAATATAATAAAGGTAATATCTTGACTGTTGGTTGCATTTTTTTACTTTTTTAAACATTCGAGTTGTTATTAGTTTTTTTTAAATTTTCAAACATTTAAAAGTGTTTGTAGTTGATTAAACATTAAATGTTTTATTGTCTTACAAAATCCAATAATATTTTATCAATAATAATTTATTACCAGTTAGTAGTCAAAATATCAGGTTTATATAATACACTTATCTATACGGATATCCACATTTTCAATAAAGAAAATGGTTGTAAAAAATAATTGATATTAATTATATTCGAATCTAATAGTCTATGTTTGACGCCAAACTTTTCACAACAAAAAAAGTTTGCAAGTTTTATATTTATCTAATTATTAAAAAAGTCTGTTTTATGTTAATACACATACAATTAACAATATATGCAGTGATAGTCAAATCGAAATTAAATATTTTAATTGATTATTCCTGTTATATTTTGATTTATAATTTGATATCATTAAAATATATTTTAAAAAATTAAACAGTTTTAACTTTTAGTAAAAAGGTGTTTTCAATTATTCCCACAACAAAATAATCAACATGATTAAAAGTTTAAATATATTAATAATAGATATACGTATTAGTTAATACAATTGTAATTTTTAAATTAGTTTTTGGTTGAATAATGACTGTTAATGACATTGTTATTCTAAGATATTAATTGTAATTATATGTGTTTGCATTGACGATTTGTTGAAAAAAAAGAAAAATCAAATACAAACAATTGTTATCAATTTCATTGTGTAACTACTTCTATATACTCAATTTTAATTCAACATCTTTTTGTTGATAATGATGTGCAAGCGAGATATTAATCCAAATATTTTTTTTAATAATTGTTTTATTTTTTTTTCAAATTACAACACAAAAAATGAACATGTATTTTTGATAATGCCACAATTATTATGATTAATTAAAATGGAAGCATTTATTAATTATTAATTTTCAATAATTTGATAACAACAGTTGGTGTATTGGTTTTTACTGTTGATTGCTACACTTATGTTTAAAAACTGCCAAAAATATAAAAATGTTAACTTTTTAGTGTGTAAAAATGTAACATCAAACTAAAAGATTTAAAAATAACACTAAAATTAAAAGAATATCACAGTTTACACCAATTTAGGGATTTTAAATTGCAACTCACTCAAACGTGTACATAATATATTGAAATCATTTTTAGTCTAAGGATTAACACGAATTAAAAATTATAGTTATGTGTTTTTTTTTGAAAACACATTTCAATATTGTTGATATTGTTGTCAATTATTATTAAACAAGAAATATGTATTGAAGTCGGAATCAATAATGAAATTACCCATTTTTGTTTAAATGTCAAAATGTTTTTTTACAAAACAATCAAGTTCAAATACATTAAAGTCATAATTTCGTGTTTATTGATTTCAATGTATATGTAAAAAAATAAACTGTTTTAAATGATATATCAATATAAACTGTATTTCAAAACTCTGTACTGTTTCCAAAATTTATAAAACCTTTATCCTAATTTCCCATTATTTACTGTTTTTTATTTGTTTTATTTTTTATTTTCCTGTTCGTTGAAACAACAACGGTACACAGTTTAAAACCCTTAAAAATCAATACAATTTCAATTATCGAACAAAAAATCGGGAAAGCACCCAAATATTGGGTAAATCTTTCCCGATTTTCCAGGTTCGTTATTTGGTCAGTGGTTTATTTTGTAACTAAACGTGAGTAAAACCACTTATTTCAAATAAACATAAGATAAACGACAATATAATAATAAACGAACGATGTGATGAAGAACACCACTACATCAAATAATGCAACAATTTAAATTAATGATAAGTTTTTATTTCTTCAACAATTAAAAAAGTCATCAATAACATAAAAAAACATTTAAACAATCAAGGTTATTAACCAAAACAGTCTAAAATAAAATAAACAGTTTAAAAACAAAAAATAAAACTTTTCAATTGTAAACTCTTAAACGATTTTTAAATGCTGGTTTTACTCCTTCATAATTTTTAATTTTATCTGAAACACAACTTGGTGATTCTGTAAAAGTAGATATTGAATTAAAAAATATGTTTCA